CTAGAACCATACAATTTGATTTTACCATCTCTTAGATCACTCAGGTAGTCAGGGCAGCTTCGTAATCAATGCCCATTCTCTAGGCAATAGAAACAAACTGACTCTCTCGGAACGGTACACGGGACAATCACAAATCTAGCCTTTCTCTTTACCGTTTGGTCAAATGGTTTTACCATGGCCGATCCCTTTCCATTGGGAAGAGAATACTTTTCTTGACTTCCAATGTTTCCATTGTCAATGTCCATGGAAGTTTGGGAAGTAGTTCTTCCAATCAATTTGCATTACCAGTACGCCAAATAATTTCTGATTCAGCAGCAATTAGCAAATAGGCAAGATCGATAAGGGTCACGTCGTGGTCTGTCATATAGTAATCTCTAATGAACTCACTATATGACTTAGGAAGTGATTTAAGAACTAAGTCAACAACCAACTTCCTCGAGACAACGATACCTAACATTCCCAGCTTTTCAATGTGTGACTTCATCTCCAGGACGTGTGCACTCACAAGCTTTCCATCTTTGTGTTTGCTAGCCAATAGGGTTTGATGACCTTGAACTTTTCAAGTCGACGAACATGTGGGTCAGGGAGAATTATTGGAGGAGGTGGAGGAAGTGAAGTATGATTTCTAGGAACATCATCTTCATGAGGAAAACTTTTTCCAAAAATTAGGGAAGACCATAGTTTTCAGAACTAGACATCTACAAGGGAGAAATTCAAGTTAAGTTGATTTAAGTCCTTAATATAACACCCGAATGAAATATTAAGGCTAGGACCCAACACAACATTCTACAATTCAGAAGAGGGATGCCATAATCCAATTGTAAAATATTTGAAGGTAGGTAAATGACGATTTACCAATTTCCACCATGGAAAACAAAAATTATTAGGTTTTAAATGAATTGAAATTCCTAGATTCTTTTGAGATTCATTGAACTTTTTAATGACATGTTTAATCTTGATTATACCCTTCAAGTTTGTGACTAGGATACCCAGGATCAAAAACAAGGTGTGAATAACTATGCAAATTAGCTTTGTACCCTCGATGTCATTAGTCACCTAATCAATGTGTTGGTTAACCACCCACGCTCCATTGATCAATGATAAATTACGAGAAACCATTGCTACCCTTACTAGTCTAAGTTAGTGTGCCGGTTAACCACACACGCTCCACTAACGACTTGGCAAGCTGCAAAGTGCAATTTCATGGATTAGCATCAAATTCACATTTTTCCTAAAGTAATTGAGATTGAGAATTTATAAAGTGTTTAGCTACTTTGTATTTCATTATACTTTTAATGAGGATTTAAATGTCCTGTCAAACCTGTTCTGCTAACGACCCTCCACTGGTCAAGGGTGCGGTGGGTAAGAATGGACACCCAATGGCAGTCATTTTACAGGTCGCTTCCTTAAACACCCCTTATAGACCAGCTTCGTGAATGAGGCCTACTAACGGTAAGACTGAATTTTAACTTATACGTATATTAATATATTAAACTTTTAATTTTATATAGTATAAGGGTGTATTTTACACTTTTAAAATACTAGGTGGTTTAATCTATTAATTAAACTAGACTTTTAATTTAATTAAACTCAAACATGTAATTATGGATTTATTAATACTCTCTTAATTAGACATTTAATTAACTTAATAGAATCCATAAGAGTGTAATTAAACTATTCAAAACATCAAGGTTCTAAATATAAAAATTCAAAATTAAAAACTATTTAATTAATTTTTAAGTTATGAACGCAAGAGTTACACATTTTGAAACCTTTCAATTACTAGAGTTAATGTTTCATAAAAAAGACTTTTTAAGTTCCAAAACTTGAGGGCAAGTTTTGTAACTCTTGAAAACTTTTGGATTCCAAACTTGATGACAAGTTTTGTAACTCCTTAAAAAAAACTTTTGAGTTCCAAAACTTGATGACAAGTTTTGTAACCTCTCAAAAATATTTAGATCAAAATTTTACCACATAAAAGAATCATATCATTTTAGTTTTTACTAAATTGATCTAATTCAACTATTGTAGCAAAATAATTCAAATTTTACAAATAATTTGTTTTTCACAAAATCAAGTAAGTATCTTAAAATTTGTCAATCATCATGTTATTAGATGGGGATAATCATTACCATATCAACAAAATTAAATTTTATGAACCAAAATAGTTTGTGGTATTGATCCTAATCCAAAACAGGCCAAAAAATACAAAAATCTGCCAACAGACAGTCCAACTCGTCGAGTAAGCTTACGGACTCGTTGTGTTCACTATGAACTCGTCAAGTCCTTCTGTCAGAGTGCAGTTTTCGACTTGCTTTAACCTTGAACAATTAGCCATGCATCAATATAACAGAAAACAACCCATGACTCTGATACCACCGATGGTTTTTATGTACTCTAACATCCCTATGGTGCATATACAACCCTAATGCTTTGGATCGAAGTTTTCTCTAGTTATACATGCAACAAAATATCCAAAGCATGAAACCTATAACTAGCATACAACTTGATATTTAAAAACATAAAAATAAGTTAGATGAATACCTCTTTGTTTTAGCTTGTAGAAATTTTGGCTTTTCAAGAGCTTAGTGCCTCAAATTTTGCACCTCTAATGTAATCACAAGACACCATGAATAATTGGAGGACTTGAGAGAGATGTTTGGAGACACAAAATTGGCTATCCACTTTATGAAATACACAAGTGCCGATTTTAGGGTTTAGGGAATACATATATAGTGTAGAATTTAAAGAGTCAGATGTAAACCCTAATTCTTACACTTAGTCTTATAATCCAATAACTCATATGGACTAACTCTTCATGGACTCTCACATAAACTTAGTCCATCATGGATCAATAACCCAAACCATATGTATCACTAATTTACATAATCAGTCCCCGTTAATTTAATTAGTCTCTTTAGATCACTAAATTTATTTCAAATTAATTCTTGATCAATACTAATTAAATAATATGATTTCTCTATCAATATATTATACTTATAATATATTAATAAATCATAATTACTATTTCTCAAATATCCATCCTATCAGATGGTTTTGGTGAATGAAACCCAAAAGGACCATGCTACTCTCGGCTTAAGTACATACCGAATATAGTTATGGGTTTACACACCTAATCCAACATAATTTACCTTTAGACCATCTTCAATGGCATATTTTTTTATAGTGTATTATTAGTTGGTCTTTTAAATGACCACTTAACACTATTTGAGTAAATAATTTTTTTTGTTTTTTTGTTTGATTTTTTGTTTGACCACTCAATATATATTTGAGTGGTTAATATAACATCATAAATTATACATTTAACCCATTCCAATTTAAATATATTTCATTTTATAACTATTTTATTATAATTTTAGTATTTTTATTTTATTTTTATAACTAAAACATAATAATTTTTCATATTTTAGGTACACAAATAAAGGCTTGATATAGTTGTATTTTATATATTGATATTAAGAAATGATTTGTGTTTAAAAAATGATTAATTAAATTAGATGTTCTATAAAACATTTTATGCAGATGAGGGTAAATAGTTACATTTATAGAAAAACTATTAAAATAAGGTTAACCATTGGAGAAGTCAGTTTTTAGAGGTCAAAATTAATAAATGAGGTGACAATAACTTTAAGTTATAACATGAGTTAACCATTAGATATGATCTTATAATTAATTTACTTCGTAAGCCACCCTGCTCAAAATTTTCTTTTAGTCCTCATCTACAGTGCATAACACCACCCCCTACACAAGCTTTTCCCGGATCTTGTACCATTAACACTTCAACCCTAGTGCATGGCGTAATGTTTTTATTCTAGAAAAGTTTTCTAAAAATGTTAAACATTAGGATTCATAGAGCTTTATAAAGATCATTTGGGTCTTACTTTTTTATGCTAAAACCAGAAAATATTCTACATAGTGGTTTAGTCTAGAGCATGAAATAATGTGGTTCTGCAATTAAGTGAATCTGATAAAAATAAAGTAATCAATAATAATTGTTTCGGGTCGGTGATATATGCATATTTATTCATGTATTTTGTACATATTTCTAATAGGTTTACCTAAAATTATGTTTATTTTGGGTTATAAGGTAGTTATTATGTTTGAAATATATTTTTAGTAGCAAATAGATAATCAAGAAGAAAAGGAAGCAAACAATGAACTGGAAGCAAGAAAATATGAGCTAAGGCAAAATAAGACAAAGAAGGCTTGAACACAGAAGACCGCAGTGTGGGAATCTTCCATCATGATGTGATGAATGGAAGATTCTTAACGAATGAGGTGACTTAGAGAATATGGGATATTCATGAAGACCACGACGTGTTGCCTTTGAACCGCGTCATGGTGGTCAAATTTTAGGAAATATTATATATCCGAACATTAAATCGATTTCAAGATGGGGAGGCCTTAGGGATACGATTATTCACTAGGGAAAACCCTTCCAAGAACCCTTGGAGGGCAAAATTCGACTAGATATCAAAGGATAACGAGATTGGAGCAAGGATTCACATATACATATTCAGTTTGCTTAGTTTAATGATGTTTAGCTTGGTTTGAAATCAGATACTCTACTTACATTGGAGGCCGGGCCTTCCTATGCAAGAGGGCGAGATAAGACTGTTTAATGGAAGCCTATATCTGAATTTAAGCTACTAGATGAAACAAATGATGAAGAGATAGTTGAAGTAGAAGATCTTGAAGAAGATGTTGAGTTTCATGAAAATGATCTTATGCAGAATGAAACTATTGGACTGCAATCCATTAAGGAATAGCCTTCCATCACAAAAGTCCTCTCTAAAGAAGAAAAGAAGAAATGGTCCTCAGTCAGTTGGGCATCAAGTCTAGCAGAAACGTATAAAAGGAGTCGAGATATGGCTAAGTTGAAAACCAAGTTAAGTATTGATGCTTTTCAAGCTAATTAGCCAACTCCTCCTCCAATTCCTACTCCAAGGATTGTTCCAGTTGATGAAGGTTGGCCCATCATGAAACTTAATGAACTTTCTGAAGAGCCCTTGGTTCTTCCTCCATCTGAGCTACTCATCACTCAATCAGGTCATCAAATTATCTCCTCCATCTCTAATAAAGAAGATCCAATTAAAGACAAAGGCAAAAAGATTGCAACAAAAGAAAACAACCCATTGAAGTGCTCGAAAACGTCTGAGGGCTGGTGTAAAGAACAAATGCAAGAATCTCTTGAAGAAAGCATTTGGATTCAAGAGTTAAATCATAATACCAATCGAACGTTGGGCATTTGTCCATTTTCCAAGAAGGAATCATACATGATATCAATTTTGCTGGTTACCTCAAAAAATCGACAATCAAATTAATCTAGCATCAGAGCTTTCAACACTACTATCAACTTCCTGCAGTATGAATACTGCAGATAGAATGTGGAATTTACTCAATTATTCAGGATTGAGAATCTACTAGCGAAGATTAGCACCGAGCTTCCAGAAGCATAAATCTTGGGCGTAGGCCATACTCAAGAATCAAAACTCGAATTTGTCTATCATAAGAAAGAGACAAATAGAAAAGAATTCTTCCGATATCTAGACAAACATCTTGCTCCAACCAAGATTTTTCAAAAGTTCATCAGTAATGCCATCAAGAGTGAATCCCTTGTACACGTCAAAAAGAAATTTATTGAGCATCTTCGATGTTGTATCGAGGTTCGAAGCTGGCTCTATAGTGTTTATCTATATCTCTTCGTTGAAGTCAAGTAAAGAGTCAAGTAATTTCTATGGTCACTTAGGGTGAGATGGTTGGAACATGATGTGATCCTTTTGAAATTCGAGATGTAGTTGTCTGATATTAAGATGGAGTCCGAAGTGAAGTAGTTCCAAAGTGAAGTCTTGTCTAAGATCAATCATTGTTTGAAAGCATTTTGTGTCTGTAATGCATTAATTGTGTCATGTCCTATTTTGTATTGTTTGTAACATCTTTTACTATAGTACAAGAGACAAGATCAATAACAACGGATGTGTCCATCTGTTGATCTCCAATCGTCACTCAGTCCATGCACATTTGATCTGTTTTGTCATTTATTAACTCCTCGATTATTTAAGGAGTTGTCAACCTTTGTAGATAGAGAAGTATGCAGCTTTTTTCCATCAATCAAAGAATCATTCAGTTAATCGTTATCTCTTTACATTGGTCATACTTATTGTTTCTCTTTATTGAGCACTTTGTAGAGTTTATCTAATCCGAGATAAGATTGGTTTAGCAGACTTGACTGGAACTATATTACAAGCAATTATTAATCTTAAGTTAACTCATGGTTTGATTTTTCAAACCTTTTACGTGCAAAACCCTTTCTTTCACAAGGATATGAATTGAGCGAAGATGAGGTTTAAAAGGATGTTCAAGATGGTAACTTTCAGATGTTCCATTTCTAATGAGGAATCTAGTGCTCTGTAGTTAGCGTCACAAAGAAATCAAAGAAGAAGAAGAAGAAGAAGGTTACAATATCAAGGAAATAATTTCTTGAGTTAGATGATAGAGTAGATCAATTCTTGAGCGCAGTTACAGATCTGCTACATCCTCCACCGCAAATCACAATACCTCCCAACATTGAAGACGCCACTCAAAGAGTCACAAATATTTAAGCAAGGGAGAGAGTACTGAATCAAAGAGTTATAATTCGCAATCAGTTGGGATTACAAGTTATGGATGAGTCCATGAAGAGAGATCATGCTGAATTCATGAAGAATGTGGTTAAGCAGATACAAGAATGTAAAGAGATGTTGGGAGCAGATTCTCTAGACCTTGAAAAAGTTGAGACACCTACTTGATGAGACCGCAACACATAAGATGTCGGATACGGAGAACTCAAATCTAACATCATGTAAATACATAAAAACAATTTGGTTTGATTACAGGTACTCTCGAAGGTTGTTATGAAGCTGCAACATTGTTGAATACTCTAAAAAAACTCGAGATGAGATCATTCAAGTTTCCAAGGATATTATCGATCACATGAAGAATCCATTCCTCATCACAAACAATGATGTCAACTTAAAGACCTAGATTGGCTTCGTAAAAGTGATTAAAATCCTTTAGGAGGCAAAGGATGGCGAGTTTGCAGAGAAGCCAGGGCCTTCATCCACAAAAGGGGAAAAGGTTAGCGAGACTGAGGAGACACCATTAAATAAAGACAATAGACATCCACCACGAAGTGAATCCCCTCTGAGGTCCAGGTCCAAATCAAAGTCGTCCTTTGGAACGAATGATGATGAAGAAGAAGAAAGCTTCACTAATGAATCTCCCATGTCTCATCCCCGAAGAACTCTAAGCTCTCCTAAGAAAACTCCACCTCCTCAATCTGCCAAGAAACCTCTCTCAAAAGCTAGTGACTCTAGAACCATCATTGTCCAATGAGAAGTCATTTGATTCTCCTACCACTACACAAAGGAAAGTTGACTAGAGGGCATCAAATTTTGGTGATGATATTTTGAAAACTCATGGCTTTGACAAATAGATGAATCCCTTATCCATTCATGGGTAAATTCTATCTGCAGACTTATCGATGAAGATTATGCTCCTCCTCTAACATTCGTAAATCCTGGAGATTTATTGTACTAGGATATCCCAATGTCCCCCAGTGACCAATTATTCCTTGTTTTTGAAGAATTTTATCTCAAAATTCCTAACTCCAAAGGAATTCAAAATAGGGTTTGAAATATGATATCAATTCTACAAGAAACACGAAAAAGAAATCAAAGACATATGGCCAAATTTCAGACAGGAGGGAGTCAACAGTGTAAAAACTGGATCTCAAAAATGCTCTTTTGCAAAGGCGTTGATTATAATAGAACTTAATCCAACTTCATTAACATGATCAAGAATTCTTCTGGTGATTTTGCAATATATGCCAAAGATTTTGATTTCCTTAGATCACTTGTCTGTGATTTTGCAACTATCGATGTCAAGATTCACCCCATGCTCGTCAATAGAGTGAATCTACCTCCTTTTGAATAAACCATGGTGAGAGTTGAAGGAATCCTAGAAATAAATTGTGGAGCCACAGACTATCCAGAGCTTGGCATTATCTTTCGTCTTGGAAAAAAGACTAAGAAGAATCTTCTCCCCACAAGTGCACTCCATTGTTGTACAAACAAGCAACTATATGAAGTTCTTCGAGTCGTTAACAAATCCAAGTACACCAATAAAGAAGTGAAAGAATAATTACATGAAAGGATTACTTGTTTGGTTTTTGTAAGGAAATTTTGTAAGATTCTAATCAAGTTTCTCAAACTTGATAAATGAAGGTATTAGTTTCAAGGTAACTTAGGGGAATAGTTGATGCATCAAGTGACCCTTAACAGATAATGAGTTCAAAGGACATGCAAAGTCCTTTTCAAAGTATATGGATGCAAGAAGTGTTCTGGTTATGGGAAGAATATTGTTGGTGAATATATGTAACGACTAGAGATCAGGAAACAATGCAAAGAGTTCAAGTGTTTTTGTCTTGAAAGGAGTAGAGTACAATAACCAAGTTTTTATGACCTTGAGTGTTTCGTGATGTTTGTTGGAATAGACATGGAAATCATGGCCGCCTGTTCTCCATACCTTTTTGTATTATCCAATCAATAGCTAGTACCTTGTTTCACCATGAATATATTGTGTGAGTTAGTATTCAAAAGTGTGTATAAACATCATTTCATCATTGTAGTCAATTTATAGGAAATACAAATCCTACTTGTCTTTATTTATGATTTTGTTGTTCTTCATTTGCTAACTTAGTGTTTGTGTTACACCCCCAAACCTGAATGGCGGAAACGTTCGGGGGCGGAGGACATCATGTACAATATCATAACAAATGAATAGTAAAGAAAGTACACACAACCATCATATACATAATTGAAAAGCTTACATGATTTTAGTATTACATGTTTTCAAAAGTTAATTACAATATGATGTCCAAAATATTAAACTAACGCCTGAGCGTAAGTCTTCAAAAGCAGTTGCTCATATGATTTAGCAATTCCTGAGAATACAAGTTATTTCAAAGAAAAAGTGTCAACATTTAAGTTGGTGAGTTCATAAGTAGTGTTTTGATAAAATGACTGCCATTCGAAATTTCGTGTATGATTTCCAGAAAATCCGATATTTTCTTAAGAATGATGCTGTAAATCATTTTTGTACAAAATGAATGTATTTAGACCAGGAAAATCCTATATTTTCCTAAAATGAGATGCCCTCTTAAATGACCAAGACTGTAACCGGTAAGCAAATATGTCATGCTTAGAAATGAAGATGTATAGTTTTATTATTTAGTAAAACTAGTTGTGAAAGTGTTTATCCCGAATTCTGAACACGCCGATAATACCCTAGAATATAGTTATTACCCCCAGAGCATGATTGAGTTATGTATTACTATGTGCATGAGACATTGTTTCTATGTGTTGTGAGTTCCTCATAACCATACTAGACGCAATACATAATGTTGACATTTGTCACCCCGGGGACTGTAGCTAACAATCAGGGTGCGGAGTCGTCAGCCCCGTATAGATCTATACACACTTGTCACACTCTCCCTCCAAGAGACTCTGGTTATGGGTGGGGACTTTTGTTTGGTACAAACAAAGCCATATGAAATCACATGATTGCTAACAACGATGTTCACGAGTAATATGATGAAAAATATTTAGATAATTCGGGATAACAATTAAGTCACGTATGCAAAAGGTGTATGTTTATGTCCAAAATGATTACCTTTTCTATAGTGTTAACAAAGGCATAATAACAAATTGTGATTTGTCGAATACACATAATGTTGTAGTTGAAATGGTTACCCTTGATATGACGCAAACATATAAATAAAACTTATAATATTTATAATTATATTTCATCCTGAGAGGGTAAAGTGGTGTAAGATGCTTGCATGTTAACCAAGTCCATATGATAGTTATAAAAACAACATGAAATGTATAACAAAAGATCAATGTTTCACACGATTTTAGCCGTGTGTTTAATTGTATTCCCCCCTTAAAAGTGTTTAAAAACATTTAAAAAGTATTTGAAAACGTAGTGATAGGGGTATGAACTCACTTGGTAGTTTGTTGAAGGTGAGACAAAAATCGAGCAAAACTTCGACTGAAGAAAGCTGATTTCTCAGGATTCTCGGGAATCTTGGGAGCATAAAACTTCCTTCAGAACTTGGATATGAAAACCGGGGCTTCGCGATGGCTTCGAGGGGTTAAACGCAGAGCAAAAGCATAAGAAAGAGAGAAAGTGACAAACTGAACCCGGAACCCCCTTGAGTTCTATTTATAGTCCATCTTTTTGGGTCTCACCGCGTGAGAATGGAGTTGCTCACATTGTAAGGTCAATCCTTATTCTCTTCCATCGACGAGACATCTGCTGCCAGCTCTGGAATCCATCAGTCACAGGCTCACGTCGTGAGCTGTCTGACAACTTTGTTTTTTGTGTCTTGAACTTCATAAATTCATATCTATCGCATACGAGCTCCGATTTTTACATTCTTTATATGAACGCGTAGGTGAGATTATGCTCTACAACTTTCGTTTAGACTTCGTTGGCTAATTTTGATTTTAATTTTTAATATTATATTTTTAACAGGCCGGGACAGGAAATGTCCATTAAAAATCCATAACTTCTTCATCTGATGTACATTTTTTTTTTCAGTCTTTTTACAGTTGTACTACTATTGTTGAGATAGTTGTACTACTATTGTTGAGATCTTCGATTCTCGTTTAGGTTGCGTTGGTTAAAAGTCGCCCGATCTCTATTTCGAGTTTTAAGCTGTCTACTGCTATGTCTGAAATTTCAAAAAATCATAACTTCCTCATACGAAGTCAGATTTGGGCGTTCTTTTTGTGTACATTTACGGTTTAATGATATCTACAACTTTAATTTAGATACCTAAGGCCAAAAAGTATTTGATTGGAATTTCGTATTTTATGCTTAATTATGTTTAACCGGTATTGTCGCAGATCTTCGATTGGTCATAACTTTTTTGTTATAACTCATATTTTAGTGTTCTTTATATTTTTAGAAACCTTGTTACGATATCTACCACTTAGTACATCCCAATTATGGTTACCGAACAACTTTATTTTTGACCTAATTTTTGCTGGTGTTATAGTTTGCATTCAAACGCAGTTACAATTCAACAAGGCTTCTTATATCTTGTTAATATTTATTTAGTTATGTTGATGTCATGTTTTCATTTGAGTTGTTCTTATAATTCCACAATTATTTATTTTTAGCTAACCAAAAGATCCATGAGATTAACTTTAAATCCGATCATAATCTCCATGGTTAAGTTCTTCTCTCAACACTTCTTCATTGTTGTGCTAATCTCAACCACTAGAGATTCATTGATAAATATGTTACTTTCTTGTTAAATGAGTAAGAGAAACAACTTATCTTGGGTTTCTTGATTTCTTTGAAAGTTTGAGGATGTCACACCCCCGAACCAGACGGCGGAAACGTCCGGGGGCTGTTGTGACTCAATTGAATACCATCACAATGAATATACATGAAACATAACATTATACATCACCAAGCATTGGAATGATACAACTGGTAGCGTTCACATCCATTACATTGTTTCAAAATATTACATTCCAAAATACATGGTTCATTGTTACTTAAACAACCGAAAAACAATCATAGAATACTGTCCTTTCTTCACTTATCTGTTACCTGAGAATACAAGTATTTTGAAAAACGTCAACATGTGAAATGTTGGTGAGTTCATAAGTAATGTTTAAAATCCAATGTTTGTAATGTTTTAAAAAAAAAACCACCAGAAAATCCGATATTTTCTGAAAATAGAATAGCGTAAAAATATGTGAAGATCCGTGAGTATGCTTGTTTGAATTCTATAGATGTAAGCGTAATAGTTGTGAAATTCGACATGTAGTTCATAAGTGTACTCGTTGAAAACCCTAGGAAAACCCGACATTTTCCTATCACTTTGCTTTACTTATTTTGTGTACGGTTATTTCGTTACGTTAGAGGTATTTGTTGAGCTCCGGAGGCATTGAGTATACAGTGGGTGGTGAATTGTTGTAACATCCGTTAATGAAAACGTCCAGTCGACAACCGTACTAGTGATCCCTTAGGCGTCACTCGCACTTATTCACACAACTCAATCCTCCCGGACTTGTGTAGTCCCACGACCGAAGGGAAAAAGAGAAGGTGCGAAACCCTCAGTCTTTCCCTACGTCGTTCAAGACCATTGCAATTGCGAAGGGCCCGAAGCCCAACCCGCAATCGTGAGTTCCCGACTTTACTAGCAGCACTGAGGGACCCTTGGGGACCAGCAGCATGTTTTCCATTGAAAGTCCTCTTACACGCGGTCGAGTCGTATTAGACCCAACTACATGTAAGCAAGTGTCCTTTGGGCC